TTACACCGCGCAAAAAACATCTGCATGACCCTAGTACGATGCGGTAACTGTTGCAAACAATTTCAGCCAGACCCCCAACAGCTACACCGTTGTTACTTTGGAAAATGCTCTAACTGTAAGGAGTACGTGGACCTTAGAGAACACAAATGCTACATTCAACCCATCCCTGAACAAGAAGATTCACCCAAACGGAAAACGAAAGCCAAAATCAAGAGGCATTTAAAAATAAACCCCGAGGCATCCGTGTACGAAGAACCATCCATCTTCGTCTACGCGGACTATGAAGCCATGATCAGCGATGACGGAACACACCTACCCATTTGCGTCTGCGCTCAAACTTCCGAAAACAACACCTCCTACACGTTTTATGGCGACGATTGTAGTAAACAGTTTCTGGAATTCTTGACGAACCTTACCGAAGATCAGTACAAAGAACCGCGTGAAGTCATCTGCATATTCCATAATTTAAAAGGGTATGATTCCATTTTCATACAGCATCAGCTTGTGATAGAAGGAAGAAAATTCGATGTGATGATTCCTAACGGCACAAAGATGATTTCTCTGGAAGCTGGTAAAATCACATTTAAAGATTCCATGGCTTTTCTTCCCATGGCTCTGTCTGCATTTACCGACACCTTTTGTCTCACCGAGTTGAAAAAAGGCTTCTTCCCACACAAGTTTCATACGCAAGAAAATCGAAGTTATGTGGGTCCGTTACCTGAAGTTTCTTACTATGATCCGGAGGGAATGTCGAGTAAGAAAAAAGAAGAATTCGAAGTGTGGTATAGAGAAGAAGCAGCCAAACAACACCCATTTGATCTCAAAGAAGAACTGCTTGCATACTGTCACTCAGATGTTGCGTTACTGAAAGCTGGATGTCACAAATTCATCCAAGAATTTAAAAGCATCGCCGGTTTCAATCTTATGGAAAAATGCGTTACGATCGCCGCAGCGTGTAACCGTTATTGGAGGAGGAAACATTTACCCTTAGATCTCATAGCAGTAGAACCTTCATCGGGGTGGCGAGGTGCCCGTATGAATCACTCCAAAGCATCGTTGGAATGGTTGATGTGGCAAGAATACAATACCAGAAGTCGAATTCAGCACGCACGTAACAGAGGAGAGTATCGTATCACTGTTGGCTCTACCTTGTACTTCGTGGATGGTTACGATGCACAGACCCGCACAGTCTACGAATTTCACGGGTGCTTCTATCATGGTTGTCGTACCTGTTACACCAATCGCAAACAAATTCCGTTCTGTTCCAATGGGTTGACCGTAGAAGCCTTACGCCAACAGACCAGTCAGAAAATCCAAAAACTCCGCGGTAAAGGGTATCGAGTGGTGGAAATCTGGGGGTGCGAATGGGAGAAAGAGAAGAAAGAAACACCAGTCATTACCGAATTTCTAAAAGATTTGGATATCGTCCCTCCTTTGAACCCAAGAGAAGGTTTTTACGGTGGTAGAACGGGCGCCGCCTGCCTGTACCATAAAGTAAATGAAGAAGAAAGAGAAGAAATCCGCTACATCGACGTAACCTCTGAGTACCCCTACGTAAACAAGTATGGTACGTACCCTGTAGGCCACCCGGACATCTATTTGGAACCAGAGAATCAAGACCCTAGAAGTTACTTTGGCTTGATGACTGTGGACATCACCCCACCCGCTGACCTGTATAACCAGTCTTACCTTACCGTCATAAAATTGGAAACTCCTACAAGCTGACCTTCCCGTTATGCCGTAAGTGTGTAGAAATAGAGACACAGAAAGAACACATGCTGGAACGCGACTATCACTGCCCACACAGTGATGAAGAACGAATGTTACGAGGCACCTGGTGTACCCCAGAGATACATAAAGCAATCGAAAAAGGATACCGACTCGTCCGAATTCATGAAGTATGGGATTTCCCGCAGCGTCGAAAAGGTCTGTTCCAACCGTACGTGGACACCTGGTTAAAAATTAAGCAGGAGAGCGGTGGCTACCCAAACTGGGTGCGGACCGATGCGCAAAAAGAAAAATACATTCATTGCTATGAAGAAAAAAGAAGGTATCCGACTCGACCCTACCAAGATCGTCAAGAACCCCGGAAGAAAAGCCACGGCTAAACTCATGCTTAACTCCTTCTGGGGGAAATTTGGCCAACAAAACAATAAATCGAAGACCAAACAATGCACGCAACCCCACGAACTCCTAGATCTGCTTGACGACCCTCTCTTCACCGTAACAGACATCCGTATTCTTAATTCCGAAGTGATAGAAGTATCGTACAAACGTGATGAAGAAGATCCTTACAAAGGGAGCAATACTAATATTTTCATCGCAGCATTTACCACCTGTTTGGCCTGCTTTAAATTGTACGAATCGTTGGAGAAGTTGGGTGACCGAGTCTTATATTACGATACAGACTCGGTCATATATACATTGAAACCGGGGCAGACAGAAATCGAGCTTGGCGACTACCTCGGTGACATGACCAACGAGCTTGACAATGGCGACTTTATTGTAGAATTCATCTCCGCAGGTGCGAAGAACTATGGGTATCAAACAAAGAATGGTAAAGTGGTGTGCAAAGTAAAGGGATTCTCGCTGAATGTACGTGGTGCCAAACAGCTAAATTACGACATCATCCGCCAAAATATTTTGGATGAGGTTCTTCACCCGTTAGATGAACAAAGAAAAACGCTGGTAGTCAACCTGACCCACTTTGTCAGAAACCCCACTTTGAAAAAAATCAAGACTGAGACTCAGACTAAGTTGTATCAACTCGTGTTCGACAAGCGAGTTTTAGATCATTCGCACGGTTTTAAGTCTTATCCTTACGGATATTCGCGACTGGATGCACAAGATTTGGAGAACATGGACTTGTTGCTTTTATGAAAAAAACAAAGAAACAAAACAAAAAAAAACATTGACACTCAAAGCGAACATTTTTTTAAATTATTTTTTAAATAAAACAAAGTTTTAAAAAAGTTTTCATGACGTGTTTGTTAATTCTTAAAGTAAACAGTTAATTCTTGAATCCCTTGGGTGACCACTTCCATTTCGGTGAGGCGTACTACTTTTCGTAACTTTTCATAATAATCCCTTCATGTTTCTTCGATTTGTTTTTCTTGAGAAATCATGCATAATTTATATTTGCGGCATCGACATGAATACACTCGCGGCATCTTTAGTGTCTACAACTTAACAAAAAACACTACACTGAACGTTTTCTATGTTGTTCAATATTATCAAGCCATTTCTTTGAAAAATAAGTTCTTTCCTCCACGTTACGTATCAGTTCTTTTTAATTGGAGTTCTTTTTATCTTCCCATGTATGATCCGTTTGCGTTTCTTTCTCTTCTTCTTTTCCTGGGCTTCAGTTTTTGGCGGCGGCGGTTTCAGACAGACAGCCTCTGGCTGCCTCTTTTTGGTTAAACATGTTATCTCACTCGTCTAAAATGCAATGTGACTATAGAAGCGCCGTCTGTAAACTGAGCCAAATTATTATTTTCCGACTCACTCATCTGTGTTTCCACCACATCGATGTGATTCTTACGTAACTTGATGTAATGAATCTGCTTGGGTTCGTAATAATAATTTCCTTCCAAGATTGGTTGGTAGTGTATTTGACGTATAAGATCAGTCGTCTGATCTCCCACGCGTACTGGAGCACAAAGGGAGGAATACATATACAAGGTTCGTGGGTAAGGTAAATTTAAGTAGGTACTTCTCTTAGTATTGATAAAGGTCCAGTTCAGATCGCTAAGAAGAAATCTATGATATTTCTCCGCAAATCGGTCTTTCCATGGGATCTCATATCTGTAATACGCCAAACTGGATGTAGTAAGCCTCCTATCATAACTCCACACCGTACCACGTTTGGTCACTGTGAGATTATGCGCCGGTCGTGATACATCACAATTCTCTTCAATAGGACCACTAACAATACGACGATAAGGAACTGTTGTTTTTTTCGTCCAACCAAACAACTCACACATGTCTCGAGGTAACTCAAAATAGAGACCGTCACGAACTTCTTGATGAGTTATATCAGTCGATTTTACCTTGTCTGCTGTTACAGTAATCGTTTCTTTATCCTCATCCGCAATCACTTCAAATTGTGCACTGTGTCCTGAAGAAAAATGACTCCCAAACGCCGAGTCCATATTCATAATACATTTTAAACGTTCTTCATCAAACAAGGATTTGAGTAAATCGTGAACTGTCTCGATACGATGTTGTTTGATGTCTCCATACGTGACATTGTAAGTCACTTTATGTTGTATATCCCCAGTGGCTACTTTAACTCGTCCTGTGGTTAGCAAGACATCATCGTCTTTTTAATCCTTTGAGGTAACTGGACACCTTAGAATCGTGTGGAAGCGAAATACTACTCAATCCCACTTCCCCTCTCCTTCTAAATCGATGCGTTTGTCTAATCGATTTTTCCAAGAATTGTTTTTGTTGTCTGGAAAATATTTCAGACTCCCATCGTTACTGGGTAACGTCAAGTAAAAAGTATCACCTGACATGATGTGCTCTCGATAACGACACAACTACAAATGAACCGGAGACACACACTGTGTTGCATTTTCACAAGTTTTATTTCATCATTGTAGAGGCGTTACAATTTTGTTTTAAGCTTAACTTCCATGATTCGCTTCACAATTTGCTCGGTTAAACTCTTCTTGCCTGGAAACTTATCGATTCCGGCTACCATCTTACGATCTGCAATATGTTTGTCAGCGAGTGATTTAGCTTTACTGTAATCAATATCGTGCTGTTTGGCTAATCTATCAAGACGATTAATTCCTGGATCACCACGTTTTAATCGCTTGGCTAATTTTGTACCTGGACCCATATACTGGTATCCGGGCCAATGAAACTCGACACCTAACTTTGAAATCCATTTCTGAATATCAAATTTTCCTCCTCTCTGTCGTTTCCTTTTAGCCTTAGCTTGGACGGTTCTTGCCCCTCCTTTGCCTTTCTTCGACTTTGGCGTTTCGTCATCTTCAAACACTTGATATGGGTCGTAACCTCTCTCTTTCCCAAGGTTCCCAGTTACCAAATTCTTTGAGTCGTTCCAACTCCGTGCGATGCTTTTGCGGTGTGGGAACAGGAAGTTTTCGTTTCGTTTTTTGTATCTTTTGGGATGGAGCTGTGAGAAAAGGAATCTTAGACGTTCCCGGTTTCGCAGGGGTGACGGGTTCGTTCTTGATCCCCACAGGTGTGACAGGTTCCCTCTTGAGTGTCATCTCAGGTACGGCGGCTTGTCCCCTCATATTTATGGATTTAATGAGTTCTTTTAACAATCCCTCTTGCAACCCCTCCATGAGATTACCATCATCGTCTCGAGGTGGAGGTTCTACACCACCGGCGATAGGAATCTGTCTCAATTTGTCAGTAAGCTTGCGTTCTTGCATTAACAATTCTTTTACCACAGGTTCTTTTAAAGCAGCAGGAGTAGATGTATCTTCTAATAACAGTTTTGCTTCAGCGGCCACGCGTGCGGCTTTGTCCAGAAGAGTACTTTCAGTAATTTTTCCCTTGTAATAATCTACCAAAGCTCGAAACTCATCGGGTTTCACCATTAAGAACGTCTCCATAATCGCCACAAGGGCTCCACCACACGCATACGCAACCACCGAAACAGTTGAGTTATTGTGAGTCTACACTCGGTTGAATCCTTATAGTCACTGTCGTCGTCGTCGTAGTTGAATTGCAAATCAAACTTTATACCCGTGTCCACTTCGTTTATACCCTCTTGCACGGTGACAGTCATGATCTCTTAAAACACTGACAGAACGCGTCGTTCATACCACTCCAAAAGCTACCGCCTGTTTGATTCACAAGTAATTGACGCCGCTTTCTTAAAGAGTTCCTCCGTTTACCCAACTCTCTCAACATTACTCTATATTTCTTGAGTTTGGCAACGGTGGGCGGTGATAAAGGTATCTTTTTCTTCAACATGTTCAACGTGAATTCACTGACGGCATTGATTTGATCTTTACTAGCGTGAAGTAATTTTTCCATACGACGCTTTCTATTTTTCTCTTGTAAAATAGATTTTAAAAATCCACATTTCTCTTGAAACTATTAATCATCGCTTTTTCTTTGTAAGAGCTTCTAGGCCTTTTTAGCCCCAAACGATGCAGCTCCTCCAAGGGCACTTAAACCCAATGCTTTACCTCCAGCAATGAGGGCTGGAATGAGTGCCGCTAATGGTAGGATACCTCCTTTTTGTCCTCTTTTGGTTAGTCTTCTTTTCACTCTTCTTCTCCTTCGGGTTGTGGGCATACTGCGCTTATAACCAGGCATCTTTCTTATTTATTTCTCTCTGTAACAGCGTACACAACCTTCGTGTCGTAACAAGTGACTTAAAAGTCTCGTAGAATCTCTACTTGCAGGGTGTACGTCAAATAACAAATAACCATAGGGTCTGTCCGTACATGCATTATATATATCCATAACAGGTAGCCACTTGGTCGGGTATATCTGTAGCAGTAAGGTGCGCAACGCCACTTTATCTCTAGGATTTTTAAAGGCAATAATGTATTGCGCATTCCTAGAGATGGTCTTAGCATATTTTCCTTGAGGGAACATGTCTTGGCAGAGATAACACACGGTGACATTCATGTGGTGAGAATATTGTGTGAAAAGATTAAGTATTTCTCTGTCATCTCCTCCCTCCGACATGAGATCATCCAAGACAAGAATACCCCCTCGTTTATCTCCAAACCATGTTGTTAAATCGTCGTGGGTAGGCACTCCTTTAAAAAATTCTATGCCATGGCGTTGCATGTCGTCAAACTTATTTTGCCAGGATCCATAACAGTAATGCACGCGGGGCGATCTTTCGTCAAAGAGGTCTAAATTTTCCAAAAAAGTAGGTGATGGAGAAAGGTGGTTTTTCCACAACTTGTAGGGCCCACAATCAAAATATTGGAAGGGGATTTGAACGAGAATCCTGGTTCCACACACTTGTACATGATTGCTAAAAGCGAGTTACACAAAAATGACACGATTTTATTTCATTTCTTTTATTTTATTAACGATTAAATGATGTCTTCTAACATGTCGCCTACTTTATCATCGTTGCCTACATAATCCTTTTTAGAAAACATGGAAAAAAAACTCATCCATACCCATGCGTCTTGCTTTACACATTAAATAAATGATGGCATAATTTCCACAACTTGCGGTTTTTACAGATTGTATACTCGAGTATTTTTACGCACGTAAAGCCATCGGTTTAACCATACAATGAATGGTGTCAGAAATTCATAGGTGGTTAAATCTAAACCATAACTATCTAAAATTTTACAGCTATCATGTTCGGTCCACACAGCTATCCAGTGTTCCCCAGGTTTGTCTGCAGGGTGGGTATTGACAATGTAAGCTCTCGGTTTCACACGTTCAGGCGACTCGGGCAGTTCGTCACAGGCTAAAGCACTCACAAAGTACTTGCGGAGTTCTGGATCGCTATCCGCTAAAGCGTTGAGTTGATTCGTAGTAAGCCACACAAACTCCATCACTAATGCACTTCCATCGTGGTAGCTCCTTTAATGCCATCAATTTCCATAATGCTTTCATATTCAGCATAAACGATCACCGTTTTCTGACTTGCTTGCCCTGCACATTTAATGTGAATGTTGATGAAGCCTTCATTTTTAGGTAGAAGAACCGGGTCATCGTGTCTTCCATTGGCCACATTGGAAAACGCAAACAGCGTGCAATTTTTTCCATGACCCCAGTCTTTGAATCGCACCATGTTTCCTGCATTTCTGTACAGACAGCCAGTAGCATCCAGAAATCGGTGATAACCCACCAAGTCTTTTTGACCATTAGCCGTGTTGAGTTCCAAAGTCTCGTATGGGTATTCTTCTCCATTCACAATTTGTTTGATGTATTCCACCCCAAATTTTCCAAAGGCCAAGGGGTCTTCGTTGTATTGACCATTGAATGCAGTAGTTTTCAGAATACCAATGATGACTCTTTGGGGCACCTTTCCATTGAATGGGTTGTTGATTTCTTTAGAAGTAGCCCCATTGTCTAAGGGAAACTGTCTCATCTCGGTACGGATCATGGGATACTTGGTTGGGGTTTTGGTCATCATACTCATCATGCTCATGTAGACGGCTGGGTTTAGGGACACCAGACATAGAAAGAAGGTAAGTTTAATATCCTCTGGGTTGACTCGGACTTCCTCACTGGGTGGATTGGCTTCTCCATTCATGAATAAAGCTGCTGGATTCAGATAAAATTCCAATTCAAAAGAGTTTTGGGGACGATCCATTTTCCTTGGTGAAACGCGTCTATAAACGGTTTCATTCTCAAGATTCTCCTCTTTCCTCCTGCATAGTATTCTGTTGCATCTGCTCTCTGTCTCTTGATGCTTTCTTGATGATTTATGGAAAGAGCTGTATACGCGTCATCATCCATCTTGACATTTGCAGCGGTGTAGGTTACAGGAGAATCAATTTCGTTCCGCCATCCAGCTGGTTCGAGTATCGTCTCTCCATCATTCCTGTCATAATTAAGGATCGTCTGTATGAAAGCTTTAAGATGGTACATGTCTACTTGTTCGGTGAGTAAGGTACCATTGGCTCTGAAATTGATTTGCTTGAAGAGGGTGTGTGCAATATTGTTGGCTGGTGAAGTCATCACACCCACATTGTTTGCGCGTGCTGTGAGACTGGCATTTTCTGTGGTTTTGAAACCCAAATCCAGTTGGACAAAACTTCTCGAAAGATCGATGAGATCTGATTGTCGTTCCACGTACACTTGGATAGGAGTAATACTAGATGTCTGAGGTGGTATTTTGACATATCGGTACTTTACCGTAGAAAGATCTGTAGGTGGTATTCTAAAGAGATCTAGACTTGAATTCTGCTCTGCCCCTTTGATAGACATGGTGATGTGTCTGTTTCAACGTCTTCTGCGTTTATGCACACGTTGTCGTGTTCCTATTTTCTTTATACGACTTGTGAGAAATCCTCCTCGTTGCTGTTGTTTTCTTCTTCTCCTTTATACCTTTTTAAGATGGAAGACACAGGATCTGTCGGTGATGTTGTGCCTACACCAATGATAGGATCACTTTGACGTACGGTGCTGATGCGGACCATGTTTTATTCTCCAAAAATATCGTTCAACCTCTTGGCAACTTTTCTCTTCAATTCGTTCTTGAGCGCTTGGGAAGCCCCTCTCTTTATACCTCGCGGCACTTCTGATAACGAACGCTTTTTGACACTGCTTTTAAGGCCTCCTGTTACACCTTTCAAAAATCTTTAGCCATGTCTTTGACTCCGGCACCTATTTGAGGATCACCCCAGGATCCGATAAAAGGTGGTGGGGCATAAGGTGAGGGGGTCTGCCAGCGCATGAGACCACCACCTCCTTGTTCATTTGGCACATACACTTTAAAGCGTCTCAAACTTCCTCCTCTCATGATGCGATCACCACAAACACACAATTCACTTTAAATCTTTTTATTAATCCAACTGTTATATTTGCTAGGGTACCCTTTCCACTTGACAAACAATTTATCCTTTTGTCTCTTTAATACTTTTTCCACTCGAAAATAAGTCGCTTCATCTACATGTACTTTTTGCAAATCCCACACATAAAATGTGCCTTGTAAGGGCGTGTCATCCAATTCTTGCACTTTATAGGTCGTTACCATTCCGGGTACGACTTTACGAACTTGAAACACTTCTTCCGTCCATCCTGGTAGATACCCTTTTTCTTAAACGGTCTAAATTTTTTTATTCAATCGGACTTTATCGCCTACTTTAAATGCAGGCTTTTTTTTTCTTTCTTAGTCTGATATTTCCCATACAAATTGTTCCACACTTCTGTGGCATTGAATGTGGTGACTTTAGCTGGTGTAGTTTTAATACTCCTGTGATAGGTGCGATTGTATTGATTGACAAGTTTGGGCAATATGTCTACATATTTGAGTGTGTTGGCAGCCGTGAAATAGCGATACAATTTCGATTTAAGGGTTCTATTAAATCGTTCGACGATACTGGCTTTGGCATCTCCATGAGTAGAAAAGTGATGAATCTCCTGTGTTTTCATCAATGATTGAAAGGTCTGATTGTAAAATTCTTTGCCTGCATCTGTCTGTAACGTCTGAGGTTTCCTTCCTTTGGCTTCCTTGAGTATTTTTTGCAAACGCATCCGTCACATCTTTTCCTGTTTTCTTTTTAATCGGCCGGGCCCACGCGTATTTGGAAAAGGCATCGATCACGACCAATACGTATCGGTATCCCTTGTTCTGTTTGGATAGGGTCTGTACTTCGATCAAATCTGCTACCCATTGTTGATCAATGTCGAACACCACCACAGGTAAAAATTCTCCTCGTCGACGTCTGGGTTTGTGAAGCGTGTACGCCAATTTTTTCTCTAATTCTTTTTTACCTTGAGCAATAGAGATCTTTTGAGCTTTGGCATACGGTGCCACACTACCTAAACTACCGACGACACCGGGTTCTTCATACATACAAGTCGTCCTTGACATCTTTCTTAATGTTCTTAACCATGATAAATGACACCAAAGTTTGAAACAATGGTAGGTGACCCAATACTTATGAAGATACTGCGTATACAATTGATTCCACGTCTTATATGTATACTTCCCATCATAGTATCTCATAAACGTCATCAAATGAAAGATACGGTCGTGCAGTGGATGTAGGTGTGGTTTCACGACAAACTTAAACACCTCAACTTCCATGTCTACGGGAACCCATTGGTAAGGGATTTTATGCGGCTCATCCTTTTCGTAGACTATACGTGTGATGCGATCACAAAGCCACGACACCACTCGATAATGTAAGTAGCATAGACATTGACTCCACGCGGTAGGCATGATGAACTCGTGATTTTTTTTCATCGCCGACCCTTTTTATAATGCTTGACATTATCCATAATGCCTTTTAAAGCCTGTTTTCCCAGAAGTTTACCAAGTGTTCCAAAACCTGGTGCAGGACCCGATAACAACATACTCGCTGCGTAAGCTAATTTATCGGTAAGAGAGGGACCTCTACGAAGAATTTTCTTAACCCTACTCACAGAAGCACCCCCACGTTGATTGCGTTTTCTTCTTTTAATCAGTGACCGTCTTACACGCCTCATGATTGACACAGACAAATGACAGAGTGTTTTTGGTGATACAACTTTTATTTATTTATCCATATTATCTTCTAAAAACTGTACATCACAAGCAATACATTCTACGTCTTTATCCGACAATCCTAAGCGTCTAGCTAATTTTCTAAACTTAGGCATACCGATCAACCAAGCGATTTCAACATGATCGTCCATAGACAATGTATCTAGCTTTGTGTTTCTACCCATCAACCGTGCGATTTCAAGATGGTCTGTACTTATCCCATCTACAAAAAAATTAACAAAACTTGGAATTACAACTAAAAAACATGTGTATTTTTACATCTGGTGAAAGAAAAGTTTGAATGAACACTATGCCTAAAAAATTAATACATTTGACCCTTATTACTTTCTTTGAAGTAAAGGAAAAAGGGCTTCTAATAAATCAGCAAATGTCATCTTGACATCTAGTCCTGAAATGAATCATTCACATCCATCCGTAAGAATTTGCACTGACCTCTTGTTGGGTTTAAATCGCCACCAGGTAAAAAGATCACAGTTATGTCGACTGCATCGCAAATACATTTTGCCATAATTTGTTTCTGATTGAGTTAAAGACAATGTGGGAGTCATTCCACATTCGCACACCATCTTGTCGATTCTGTCCAGGGTGAACCAGGGGTGACCCTGTCTTTGACATTCATAGTAATAACGGTTGTAATCACTGAGATTACAAAATACTGGGCAACGGGTGGACGAGCAACGGAGGAATACATCGTCACAATCTTCTTTTTTAGATTTTAATTCCTCCATCATAGTCTGGTGGATGGGACATGGATAACTGACTTCCACACTGTCCAACAATTCTTCCAGAGAAGAATAATGAAACGTACCTGTACCTTCTATGCCAGGTACGATTTCTCCTTCTTCCATTACTTCAGTCTTCTCCAGGGTTGATGGGTCATTCTGAACACTTTCCACCAGCTGGTTCAACTCTTTCAGAGGAGATGTTTGCTTAGATGACTTGACTTCTGGTTTCATATAATCCACCTCGAACTTGGGTAGTTTCACATCTTTAGCAACAAAGTCTGGGTTCTTCATAGGCAGTGCATCTATAACGAGACTACCTTTCAACTTGTTCTTAGCCCATTCTTTCTTATTCTTCAAAGTCTCTTTCTTGGCATAAGGGTGAACCCTCTTTGATGTCTTCTTAGTCTTGTTATCTTCCATCTTGCTTTCTTGATGCTTGCTTTACACTCTGGAAGTAAGAAATGTGATTTGACTGCTACAACGACTCCACTTTTATAAGGAAAATATATGATCTTGATTGACAGGTCCCTCTTGGGAGATTGGGCAAGTTTGGGCTGAATCTTTTAGACTTAAATTTCGTAATCTTTTTGTAATCTCTTCCACACGTTTCTCTACATACGCTTTTCTTATGTTCCTAATCTTGACATTCCATGCCGCTTCTTCCATAATTTCTTTATATTTGATACACGATTTACATGTTTTGCATGTACACGTAAAATCGTAGGGATATTGAAAAACAGGCATGTTTATGACTCCTTCTACTTACGACTTCACTTTAAATAACAAATCCTAACCCCTAGAGATTCGGACAGCCTTAAGCAATACTAGACAACTCTTGAGCAAGTCCTAGACAAGTTTAGACAACATCTCTCTTGAGATTTAGCTTGGGTGGGCAAGTCTGGGCAGATGACGTCACACGCAACATTTTGTGACGTCTTACACCACATAAGTACCAGCCATAGGACATTTCGTGACATTTATACCATATAATGCTCTAAAGCATTGCGCATGCGTACAATTTTAATCAAAAGATTGCACATGCGCATCACACAAATAGGTATCCCACATGGATGATTTTTACGCTACCGTTCCATATATAAATCAAACCGACCCTTATCTTTAATAACAAAGATGGCCGACATGGACACTCGCTCATTAATAATCAATTTTTATCCTCGTGTACCTACACGTCATGAATATAATTATCTAATAACCCTAACACGTGGCATGACCCACGTGGCGTAACCCTAACTACATGGCATGAATAAATTATTACTCAAACTCGGACCCAGGCCGCGCGGGAATTGCTAGTCAGACGCGCTATACTACTATAAATGGCATTCCCTTTCATCCTTGTAAAGAGATATTGCACATTTCTTTAACTAAAATATGAATTATGAAGTCAACTTAATGTCAGCTAGTAAAAGATAGATACTTAAAATAGCCGTCCATAAGAAAAAGTACATATTAAAAAAATCACACTGAAGTGGTAGCATGATTGATTTGTGATATTTAGAATGACAGAAGCAGGAAAAACACATTGAGCTTTTTCCTACTCACCAGTAAGTTAATTAGATTTTGGATTCTAAGTTCAAACTGGGTGAGATTAAATTTATTCATATCGTGCCTCATTATGGTTGGTTTACCTGGAAAGGTAATTGTTATTATAACTTTACAGATGTTTTTGTAGCAATCACAATTAACATTCATAACAAAGTTTGATTTAACATAGAATGTTTCAAGAACTATCTTCCTTTCTCTTCAATACCATTTGCTATTCCTGGAGCACAATTAAAGGTAGCAAGTTATAAAAAAAAATAACTTTTGATTCAGGTAATTATTTCAATATGTGAGTAACATTTGATGTTTTCACATGTAACAGGATGATTAAGCTGAAGATAGCCTCAAAAAGGATTTAACTCCACTGTAAGAATTAGGTGACTAATTTGGAAACTTGAGCACTTGGTAAATACACCTTGGCTTGCAATTCT